GCACAAGCCCAGACCGGCATTGACTTGAGCACCTGCACAAAGTGGTGAGTGGCTGCCCCAGGCTTGTCTGTGGCTGACCCACTGTATTGGCGAGACTGTTTAGGAGGTCAAGTTCCTGTGCCTTTCTGACCTGTTAGCTCTCTTCTGTTCCCTAGTCCTACCTCATTGCTCCCTCTGACCCTCCGTAATGGTCACCTTGGTCATGAGCATGACTAGGAATGTGTATGTGTGTTAAGGGGCAGGTGACCCTCCAAGGCTCATCAGCTGTGATCCCTCTGCCATATTAGTGGTCCCTGTTGCTTGTAGCACCTTGGATAGTAATTGTCTGCTTATTTATGTCTCCCCATTGATGAACCATTTCCTGAGGACTTGGGGTCTTTTGTTTTTGTATTTTCAAAGCTTCGTATGCAGTATGTGCTCATTAAGTGTTGGTTGGAAACTGAGGCACTTGCTTGTGAAGGTCATGGGTCAGTTCCTCCTCCTTCCTTTACTGTGAGCAGGTGGCGCTTCGCTGAGTTTCAGTACCTGCAGCCGGGGCCCCCGAGGCGGCTCCAGACTGTGGTGGTGTACCTGCCAGACGTCTGGACCATCATGCCTACTTTGGAAGAGTGGGAGGCCCTGTGCCAGCAGAAAGCCGCAGAGGCAGCTCCCCCACCCCCAGAGGTGTCTGTGGTAAGACCGAGCCTTACAAACAAGGGGGCAAGTAGGTGCCCTGACCCCTGGGCCCGGGTGGTCACCGCTCTTGACTTTTGTCACAGGAAGCAGAGCCTACGGAACAGACAGCTGATGCCTCAGAGCAAGCAGCAGACACCTCTAAACAGAATGCAGAGAACCCAGAGGCCACTGCCCAGCAGGACATGGACACTGATCTCCCAGAGGCCCCTCCACCCCCTCTAGAGCCCGCTGTCATGGCTCGCCCTGGCTGTGTAAACCTGTCCCTCCACAGTATTGTGGAGGACAGGAGGCCAAAAGAAAGGATCTCTTTTGAAGTAAGCACAGGAGTCTAGGGAGGCTGGGTGGCAGGGTGTTTGGGATGGCAGGGCCTGAATATTCCCCTTTTCCTGATGCTCATGGACCCCTGGTGACTTTTCTACCAGGTGATGGTGTTGGCTGAACTGTTTCTGGAGATGCTGCAGAGGGATTTTGGCTATAGGATTTATAAGATGCTGCTGAGCCTTCCTGAAAAGGTTGTGGCCCCACCTGAACCTGAGAAGGAGGAGGCGGCCAAGGAAGAAGAAACAGTCAAGGAAGAGGCCGCCAAGGAGTCCAAGGATGAGGTACAGAGTGAGGGCACGGCCGCCGAGCCAGACACCCCACCGGTGAGTACCTCTGCGCCCGCACGGGCCCTGGGGCTGCACACAGTAGGGCTGCACAGTACCAGGTGCTGCTGGGGGCCTCACGGGGCTCCTCTCCCAGCCCGTGTGCGCCTCACCACCCTGGCACGTCCTCAGGAGCAGGGCACCTTGCTCTCCCACATGGCTGCACAGCCAGGAGGCGGTGTGCTGAGGAGAGGGGAAGCGGCCCGGTGGCATGGGTGACCCGCCAGGGCGGCACAGAAGCCTCAGTAAATAGTGCTGTGGGGAGGACGGGTGTTTGGGCTACTTGATGGCTAACTAGAGTGCTACATTTCCTTAACCCTTTCTAAAGCACGTGGGTCTATTTCTTGCCTAAATGCCATCAAGTAAACGTATAATTTCTTTCGGGACTGAGACTGACTCCTAAAGAAAACTCCAGGTGCCCGGGAGCCGCCCTGGTGTGCTCTGAACCCCACGTAATGAAGTGCAGTAAATGGGAGTGTGTGTACAAAGCCCTTACCACTGTGCCTGAACACGGTTGATACTCAAATGTTGGCTGTTCTAAGCATTAGCAGTTAGAGATGACCGTTCTCATCGTGGTCTGCTTCTAGAAGGAAGATGGGCTTTTGCCCAAACCTCCATCTTCTGGGGGAGAGGAAGAAGAGAAACCCCGGGGTGAGGCATCTGAGGATCTGTGTGAGATGGCACTTGACCCGGAGCTGCTGCTCCTGAGGGACGACGGAGAGGAGGAGTTTGGTACGTGCGGGCACCATACAGCGGCCTCCTGGCTCTGTGGCCGGACTGCCGTCCTGTTACAGCTGTGGGATTTGGGCCCATGTGGTCCCTGCCCCAGGCTTACTGCAGGCTTTCTGCAGCAGGGGCCAAGCTGGAGGACTCTGAGGTCCGGTCGGTTGCCTCGAACCAATCAGAGATGGAGTTCTCTTCTCTTCAGGACATGGTGAGCCCTCTTCTCCTTCCCACATGATTCAGCGAGGCTTATTTCATTAGTAAGGCCTCTAACTCTCTACTGGGAGAGGGGAACTTGTACCATTTGATGCTGGTTGACAAAAGACAGAATGTGGTTCTTGGCTCCCGGAGCGGTATGTTCCTAATATCCGGGGCACTTCAGTATCTCCATCTGGCTGAATGTGATTGAGGTGTCGGACCTAGGGGCGCACTCACTTCCTCTGTGTGTGGACGTGGCCCAGGGGCCTGTCTCCAGGAGGAAGGGTTGCGGGTGTTGTTCGGTCAGCTTGGTTTTCAGAGGGCTACATCCTGGGTGCTTCAGCCGTTGAGAGAACTCTCTGTAGATCTTGTTCATCTTTGTTTCTCTTGCAGCCCAAGGAGCTGGACCCCTCTGCTGTGCTCCCTTTGGACTGTCTCCTTGCTTTTGTCTTTTTTGATGCCAACTGGTGTGGCTACTTGCACCGGCGAGACTTGGAGAGGATCCTGCTTACCCTTGGGCTCCGGCTCAGTGCAGAGCAGGTGCCTTCTCTCCCGTGCCCTCCGCCCTTTCCGAGACGGCCGCCCCTAACATAGTGTGCGCGCACCGGATTCCCGCGCATGGCGCAGAGAGCTCTAGTTCTGGGTGCTTGTGTGGCACGGGGGCAAGGGCTTGCACCTTCTCATCAGTGGGTATCTGGGGCGTGTGTTTTCTGTAGGCCAAACAGCTGGTCAGCAGGGTGGTGACCCAGAACATTTGCCAGTACCGGAGCCTTCAGTACAGCCGCCAGGAGGGCACGGACAGTGGGCTTCCCGAGGAGGTGCTCTTTGGTGCGTCCTGGTGCCTGTAGCCTTCCATAGAGGATGGGCGGGGCACGCTGCTCTCCCCTGAGAACCCTTCTTTCAACCTCTTTCTTGGCCCCTTTTAGGAAACCTGGATCTGCTACCTCCTTCTGGGAAAAGCGCAAAGCCAGGCGCCGCCCCCACAGAACACAAAGGCCTGGTGTCCCACAACGGCAGCCTGATCAATGTGGGGAACCTGTTGCAGCGCGCGGAGCAGCAGGACAGCGGACGGCTCTACCTGGAGAACAAGATTCACACACTGGAACTGAAGCTGGGTGAGTGGTCTGAAGCCACGGGGACCCGGCACGCGTGGGACGTGCAGACGTGTGTGTGGAGATCCCTCCTTACGCACCGCCCTGTGCAGCACTGCTTAGCTTAGCAGCGGTCTTTCTGCTCTTTCCCCACCAGAGGAGAGCCATAACCGCTTCTCAGCCACTGAAGTCACCAACAAGACACTGGCGGCAGAAATGCAGGAGCTGCGGAGCCGGCTGGCCGAGGCCGAGGAGACGGCGCGGACAGCCGAGCGGCAGAAGAGCCAGCTGCAGCGACTGCTCCAGGAGTTCCGGAGGCGCCTGACCCCCCTGCAGCTGGAGATGCAGCGGATGGTGGAAAAGGTGAGCCGCGAAGTGCGAGCTGGCCGTCATGGCGGAAGGCTTGGTTGGGGTGACAGCCGACCAGCATGGCAGCCCTCCTGCCCTTGCCTGGCTTCGCCTCGCCTTCTCCACCCACGGCTCTTGGGGGATCGGTGGGTCGCGGCTGCAGGCCGGTCTCCCAGGAGGAAGTGCTGGTAGTCCTCGCATCTCGGCCCTTCCTCCTCGAGTCCTGATTCTCTTCCAGGCGGACAGCTGGGTAGAGAAGGAGGAGCCGGCACCTAGCAACTGAGGGGCCTGGTGCAGGAGCTGCCCTCCTGTGAGGTCAGCGACGGAGCCTGCTGACGTTCGAGCGCTTTTGGTTCCAGAAAGAAGCTGGAGCAGGACCTGCGAGCCACAGGCAGGGGTGGCTGACCCTACGCTCAGCCTCCGGAGAGGAGCTCAGGCCATCAGGGTGGGGTCTGTGCTGTGTGGGACGGATGCGTGAGGAACCCCGGTTCCACTCAACAACTAAATCCAACACCTTCTGCACCCCTCGAATGTCATTTTGCCCTCCACCTTGGGATTTCTCCTGGGGCCCTTTAGTCTTGTGCTGACTTTTCTCCTGTCCTCTTCCAGTTTAGAATAAGACAGGGGAGGAAAAGGCTTTTCGAGTATGTCACAAGGTCTGATACCAATAAACTGAAGCAGCAGCTGTGGACTCTGGCGGGGGGTGAGAGCCCTTCCTCTGGATGGCACAAGTCCTGCCAGGTACAGGAGCAGGTTCCTGGGGGAAGGGTCTCCCTTGGCCATGGCAGAAATGGAGTCCGTGCTAGCGAACTCTTGCTGTTGGGCTGTGTCTGCCAGAGCACCGTGCTCCAGCCACCCCGGACTTGCCAGAAGAAACCAGCACCTCCCCGTGTTCAGAATGTGGTATTGGCTCTGGCCCAGCCTTTTCCCCTGTTCCCCGGAAGTCTCGCCTCTCTCCATAATCCGTGATTTCAGTTTGACTTTGTATATAAAGTTGGGTTTTTTTTTTTTTTTTTGGCTTTTTGTTTTTTAAATAAACCAAAGTCAAAAACAGGCTAAGTGTCCTCCATGCCTCTTCCCTTCTTCCTCTTCTGGGCCTGCCTGTGCTGCCCTCTTCCTCCTAGTCCTGAGCCCAGCCTCTGCTGGATGGGGGTGCACACCTCCAGAAGGTGCGGCGGGGAGAGGAGCCCTGGGTGTGCTGGGTCCTGCCCCCTGCTGGTCAAGAGGGACTACGGCGCTGCAGGGGTGCTGCCAGCTCAGCAGAGGGCAGCGCGACCCAACTCAAACGTGCGGTGGCGCTCTCCTCTCAGTTACGGCACAGTAAACAGCTGGCAAGTTTATTGAAAACGTTACTTGAAAAAATAAAATTTCCAAATATGCAGGTGAGACACACCCACTGTTTTTGCTTTGAGCCTGTGACCCGGGCTGTGACATTTTAGGTGGCTGGAAGCCTATTTACATGCGCGGAGTCTGGTTTCCTAGGGAACCTACAAGGCTTGGGGTTCTTCTCTGCCCCTGACCTAAGGGCAAGAAGTGGGCAAAGCCAGCTTTTGTCATTCTGGGAGTCTGGGCTAGAGGAGAGGCAGTGTCTTGGGCCTCTCCCAGAACAGAGGAGTCTGAAGGGTACAGGCAACAAGGGGGGAGGGGGCGGGTGGACTCCCCAGGGTGGGTCTTTGGAGGTAGGTGTGATCACGACCATGCAGGCAAGGCTGAGACCTCAGGTGAGCGGGCAGAGCTGTGTCCTTGAAGTCTGGACGCTTGCTCGGGCCCTAGGCCAGGCTGTCCTTTGGACGGTTCTTTCGGAAACAAGGCCCTTGCAGTTTTTCTGCGCTGCTTACCCGCCTGGGCTCTTGCTATGGGTGGGGAGACAGCAGCCTGCTTGGGGCTCCTGGTGCCAGGCTCCCTGCAGAAGTCGAGTGAGGTAGAACAGGGGCCACTGCTGGCCCCATACGTCTCTCGGGGGAGGGCCTTTTGCTGGCTGTCGCCTGAGCCTAAGCTTGACAAGGGCAAAGACCAGAGAGGCTGGCTTGTATCCCAGGAGTCTTCGAAAGGGTGGCGGGGACTCAGTCATCGGCCACAATAGAGAGGGCTCTGAGCTCGCTCAGTCTGGCCTCATTCTCCCTCTCCCGCTGCTCATCAGTGTGGCCGGGCTGGTCAAGCTGCTGGGTCAGGTCTCCAAAGATCTTCTGCATCTCAGAGTAGTACCCAACCTGGAGGCGGGGGTGAAGAAGGAGGTTGGCAGGTACTGGGCTCCTGGGGTACAAAGCCCCCTCAGCACTGCACCCCCTGGGAGCGTCCCAGAGGCCCGCGCGCTGCTTGCTCCCTCTAGCAGAGCACTCACGCTGGGTGGAGGGGGCTGCCTTCCACCTTCCCCCCATCACTGCCCTTCCTCTCGGCCCATCTTCTGAAACTGCAGGGCAAGCAGGCACACAAGCCGCAGCCTCCATCCCTCCAGGAGTGTCCGCTACTGCTGCTGGGATGGCAGGAGGAGGGGAGCGAGGGGGTCTCGATGAGGCGGGGGCGGGGGTCTGACCTTGGAGCCCTCCAGGCCCCCAAAAGGCATCGGGGTCTGTGCTAAGAGGTGTAGGAGGACTGCGCAGCCCGAGGCTGGCTGGGAGCACTGGCAGGACCCTTCTTGAGTCCTCGGGAAGCCAGGGCCCTGACCCGAGGTGCTTCAGTGAAGCTAGACCTTTGTCCATGGGAGAGGGGCATGGCTGGCCCCCAGAACCCCGAGAGTCTGTCTTAGAGGTAAAGGTGAGAAAGGTGACCTCTCTGTAGCCTCCTGGTCCTTCCCCACCATTAATCACGCCTCGGCCGTTTGGCTGGAAAGCAGGGCTCACAGACCAGCTCGTTCCCATGTCCCTATGTGCGTAGCCGCTGGGGCTGATGGGAGAGGCCTGCGGCAGTGGCGTGGGGGAGCGCTGAGGATGGGGAGACCCATCAGCAACTCTCTGATGGCAGAGGGCTGCTCAGACCAGGGGCTGCTGCCTCAGTCTCCATCTCATGACCAAAGGCAAACACTTTTGTGAAAATGACCCACGATTCACAACTATTCGGACACTGTTTCCACTCTAGACAGCGGAGTGCTATCACTGGCCAGGCCAGGCTGAGCGCCAGGTTTGGTGGCAGGGCCGGGGCTCAGCTGCTTTTGAGGAGAGGTCTCCCATTTAGCTCCCCACAGCAGGACTTCCCCTGGGCTGAGGGGAGCTAAATGAGGGTCTCCAAATGCTGCTGTCCCCTGAGGGGATGGGGCATGGACTAGGGCTGGGAGAGGGCAGGGGATGGCCTGCCCTGCCCCCACTCCCTGCCCCAGAGCCGCACTGCGCAGGCTGAGTCACTAGGAATGCTCACTTCTCCAGTGACTAATGGCAACGACAGCCCCGGGAGGGGGGAGGCTGGTGCTGAGGAGGCAGTAAACAGCCAACAGCCCCCCCCCCCCCCCCCCCCCCCCCCCCCCCCCCCCCCCCCCCCGCTGCCTGGTTACAGGGCATCCCTAGCCCCCAGCCTGCTCCAGTATGTGCACCCTGGGGCTTCCTCCCGTGAGCGACCAAATGGAGGGGCAGGGTAGCATACAGGAGGCTGCGAGCAGGGGTGGCGGCGGCACAGGATAGGGAAGGCACAGGGCTCCTTACACACACTCCTCCACAGCCTAGGCTGAGCTGCTAGAAGGAAGCCCGCACCTCCGGGGGCAGTGCTCTGGAGGCAGTACGGGAGCCCCCCCACTCGTGCATGCTGGTGCTCTGCCTCATTCCTCCCTAGCGGCCAAAGACATGGTCACGAACAGGCTTCGGCTCCAACATCAGTCCTGCTCGGGGTTCTGAGCACAGGCGTGCAGCCCACGAGTTGTGGTGTGCTCTACAGGCTGAGAGGCCGGCGGCCTGGGATCAGGCTTTTCCCTTGGGCGCCGGGAGGCCTTTTGGCTTTGTCCCCTTGTTGGCTGCAAGGAACGAGTGTGTCCACTGGAGGGCGCCAGACACACAGGCCAAGCACAGCAGTGGGCTGGAGGTGGACAAGCCTTTAGCTTTGTCACCTGCTGGGGAACCGTGGGGAAGGTGGCAGGGTGCTGCGTGCCTGCGAGATGCTGATGCGGGGGTCCCACATGGCGGAGACCATGGTTTCGCACCTTCATCTCCTCTCTTTTACCAATGGGGAGAACAATCCCTGCTAACAGTTTGAAGAATGGGGGGCGAGGAGAGCAGGAGCTGCATGCAGCTGCACACTGTGTCCTCACACCCTGCTTCCCACCCTCCAGCTGCCCGGCCCCTACCCCGTGCACCGCCACGCACATGCGGCCAGAGGCCAGCCTGCCTGGGTGCACGGTGGCCTGGCGCCCAAGCAGAGGCCTTGAGCATGGCCCTCCCCAGGGGGTGGGGACGCCTCCAAGGGTTGCTGGAAGTCAAGAGAGCCTGTGGTCTCCTGCCTAGAGAAGAGGAACAGCTGGAGTGGGGAAGCAGGGGCGCGGGCCTTCACCCTGCAGGCCTCTGTGGCCGGCCTGAGCGCACCAGGCAGGAACCTGCTCACCAAAGTGAGGTGCTGACTGTGCGGCTTTCTTCTTGCCACTGGTGGTACAGTGAGAGGAGAGAGAGAACTTGAGGGAAAAGCCATTCAACGTGGGAGCCCAGGTGGTAAGTCCAGCAAATGCTCAGAGTCCGAGTCCCCAGAGTGGCGGGGGCAGGGTGGCGGCACTGCCGGCCTCGCAGAAAATGGCTAAGCCATGCTCCTAGCTGGGGAGTGGGGATGGGCACGAGGGTGTCTATGAATCCCAGGACCGCCTGCCAGGGGAGCAAGTGGGGGCAGGGTAGGGAGCCGGCTCACCTGCGCTCGGATCAGGGACTCAAAGCTGGGCTGGAAGTAGTCCAGGCGGCTATTGTAGAAACGCGGCATCTCATCCAGGAGCTGCTTGTTCTTGGCCTCGAAGTCATCCCGCACGGGCCGAAGTTCTTCTCGGGCCTGGGGGACAAGACACTGGGTGTCACAGCTCTTGGTGGCTTATCCGGAGTTCATGCTGGGGGCACGATGTGTACCCTGGGGGAGGTGGGGGCAGTATCACATCTGGTGTCTTGGTCTCACAGCCCCAGAGTTGGTCCCTAGGTGAAGGAGGAACTTGCCACATGTCACCCATGGGGCCCGTTGTCCACACCCACGTCTCGCTTCCTGGTACCTGGTGGAGTTTGGCCAGCACTGGCCCCGTCTTCTCCTTCTCCTCGTACTTCTCCACCTTGGCCTGTAATCTCCTGTAGTCCTGCAAGGCCTGCTCCCGCCGCTTCACCGCCATGTTGAGGCTCGGGAAGACACTGCCAAACCTGCCGGACACGGCCCAGTTGGATACAGGCTGTCCCTGGGGCTGCAGCCCGGCAGCTCGGTGTCCATTCAGAAATACATACTGAGTGCCTCCTAAGTGCCAGACCCTGTTCTAAGTCTTAGGGACATCACATGAGTAAGACAGATGAGGCCTTGGCCCCGGGAAAGGGTAAGACCATGGGAAAGAAGCAGGACTAAGGGTCACTCTAGTGATCTGAGCCACAGGGGCAGGAATGCAAGGAAGCCACTGGTATGGCCGCTGCCCCTTCCCCATCCATCTCCTATGACCCCGCATGTGACAGAGACCTGTCACAGAGCATGGCAGAGATGAAGACTCTTTGGAATAATCTGTCCAACATCTTCCTTTAACACAATCAATGAAAATGACACCAGGGAGGGGACATGATTTGTTCAAGGTCACAACCAGGTAGTGACTGTCCCACAGAGAACTCAAGCGTCCCAGTTCTCTGGCACCTCCCCACCACCTCATGGTGCCACCGGCAGGGACAACTGCAGTCAACACCTGCCTAGTCTTGGCCTAATTCTACCAGCTGACCATGAGAAAAGCAGGAACCCTCTGGTTCTACCACTGAAATGGCGAAACCGCTGAACCAGATGTTTGAGGAGAAGGACTCAAGGACATCTTGTTGCCCAACTGGGACTAAAAAGGACCACAGGGAATGCTGAGGAGAGGGCCGTTCACAAAGAGCAGCAGCGGACCCTTTGGCCCCTGTGGGCATCCTCTTTGTGATTAATGTCATCTTTAACCGGGAAGAGCAACGAGGTCTTGAGACAGACATCGGGCAGGACTGCATCCCAGGCGGGGATGCCGGACTGCCCTTGATTGGAGTGTTGGAGAAGGCCAGGCAAGCCTGCAAGCAGGTTTTCTGGAACTGGACAGGAGGAGATGGGGCAGCTTCCTTGAGAGCAAAGCCTGCGGGGCAGGAGCCGGCAGGAGGCATCCACCCTGCAGATCTGGCCCCGCAGCCACGGAAAAGGGCAGCACAGTGGTTACTCCGGGCTGAGACGCACAGAGGGGGCGACTCGGGGCCAGGGGAAGAACGGGTTTCTCTTCGAATGGCCCAGACGACATGCTGTGGGGACTTCCCCTTCCCCAGCGCTGGGGCCGGAGCCGCCCGTCAGCTCCCGGGCAGTCCGCAGGTAGTTCAGATGCCACGGGAGGAATGATTTTCCAAGTGTGGCTCTCAAAGGAGCATGGTCACGAATTTGGTTTTTAAAAGCCCCAACAAATCAAGTGTGCCCGTGACATAAGAATAATGAATATTTCTGCCAGAAAACAGAGAACATAAATTTGACCAAAGCACTGAATTCCCCAGCCAAGGCTATAGATGCAGGTAGTAGATTCTGGTCAAACAAAAGGCTTATCCCCAAGAAAGGGCACTACGTAAGTCCTTCTAACTGGCTGGGTGACCTAATGGGCTCACTACCTAACTGGAAAGACTAGAAGTGGGCAAGACCCTTAGACAAATCAGTCATCAAATCGATATTTGAACGACTGGTCTACCAGCAGAGGAGGCCTCCTTGGTGCCATGCAAGCTGCGTGTGGGGAGCAGGTACCTTCAGGACAAAGGTCCCCCAGCCCCGGTAGGTCTCAACACATAAGACCACGGGCAGGGTCTGGCCTCGCTGTTCGTGCCTCAGGCGGCAGCTCTGACAGGGTCTGTTGCTAGGCGAGCCTGTCTCCCTTCCTGGGAGGAGTGTGCCCAGCAGCTGAGAGGCCTGCGACTCAAGGAAGCAGGTGCAATGGAGCCTGGGAAACCTCCACGTATGCCCTGTCAACCCCAACCAGACTAGGGGTCACCAGCGGCCACCCTCACTGTCTCATTAGAAGTGGCCTGCTTAGGTGGCCTCAGTGCCTGGGCCTCTGCCCTCCATGCTGCTGGCGGCCTGGGAGGAGAGTGCACGAACAGGACAAGAATGGGGCAGGAAGCAGCAGGTGGAGAGAGGGCGGCACCACGGATGCATTCTGCGGGTGCCAGGCAGGACGGCCACCACGTTGGCGGCCGAGCCGTTCTGGCTGCCCTCTGACCCCAGGGCACTTATCTCTTTGCTTGCCCTCAGTTGTCACCTGGGGTGGATTCCCACGGCTGGGATCAAAGGCACAGAAGCGCCAACTAAATGCAAGGACTGGATCAGCTTACAAAGGAAACAGGAATCCCACCCGAGAGCCAAATCCTGAGCCCAGAGGGGTGAGCGTGGCACAGGTTCAGGACCACAGACTTCCATGCAATGCCAGGCAACCCCGGCGACAGGCAGCGTAGGAGTGGGTGTGCCTACAGGATGCTCCTCGGCCTTCTGGAAGCAAGACCACCTGTGCCCTGCAGTGCACACTGGTCCCGGCTGCTGTTAGACCCTCCAGGAAAACCGGTTCTTCACCATGCCAACTTCTGCTTCCCCAAATGGCCCCCTTGGTCACACCAAGAGGTCTCAGAAGGCTCAGCTGGCTTAGTTCGCCGTACACGGGTCCTGAGTCACTTGGCACCTGTATGGCTTTGGGCCCAGGGCTTTGGGACTCCCTGGGTAGAGGCAGGTGGCATGCTCCTCTTACATTAACGTGGGGAAACTGAGGCCAGACAAGGGGACCCAACAGTGTGTTTGAGGTGGCTGATGAAAGAGTGGGGGCCCAGGGCTCTGCAGTCCCTGGCTTGTGTTAATGCTCCACTGAGGCCCCACCTCCCCACTAACCAGGCAGACACAACACAAGGGACGCCAGTCCCACGTGTTGGGCAGTGTGAGCACCACGCTGGGGTGTGAGGACAGGAGCTCATGTGGCGACAGCCCTAGGTGTGGGATGCCCAGAGCTCTCCTCCACCTTCCGGTCAGGGAGGGAAGGTGACAGAGAGGTGGGGATAGGCATAGGCTGGTCCCAGAGCCTGGGCCCAACCTGACGCCCCCTGGGGGCCCTACAGAGGGGGACCCAGTTCTCCCCTGAGGCAGGATGTCTACACTTCCACTGGGCTGCCACAAAGAAGGCGGGGAAGTCGGACCCCCTCTGCTCTGGTCCCTGCTTCCCCCAATTAGCAGGGACACTGAAGGCCTTGGGCCAGTACAGACTCCACCCTCCATACCGGCTCAACCTACCGCTCTAGCCAGGGACACCTCCATTCCCTCCTCCTGAATGCGGACTGAGCCACTGCAGGGTTGGGGACAGGCCTCTCCCCCACAGATGGGGAAACAGGTTCGGAGGAGCGGGGCCCTGGCCAGGGCCATGGGCTGGCCGGGGAGCACTTGCCCTACACCACAAAGGGTCGCCTCAGCAGTTAGGAACCAACCTGGTCTTTCCTCCAGAGAGCACCATCATGGCTTCCGCACTGGGTCATGAGCTCCTAAAATCTGTGTTGTGTCCACCCTCCAGAGAAAGCAGAACAGGGCTGGGCCTACACCACACCCTCGCCAAAGCTCTGCTCAGGTGACTCCCCTAAGGTTCAACCAAGCTGTCCCCCCTACCCCGCCAGGGTAAGCAGTGGGGTGAGGAGGCAGCGAGAGGGAGGAGGGAAAGGGGGGAGGGAGAAAGAGGCCGGCTGGGAGGTAGGCTGGGAGCAGCCGGTCCTGGTGGGGAATGCCTGCCATTCCTCAGTCTGTGCCCACACAGCCGGGATCTTCCACCCACCAGGAAAGGGAAATTGAAAGCATCCCCATCCGACCATGTGAACGCAGCCCAGAGACCGGGGGATTAGAGGCCGAGCCCCTTGGGGGGAGGCCGGGGGCGGCGGGGTGGCCATGTGCTGATGTTCTTCATCAGAGGACAGGAAAGCTGCAGTTTCCTGTTTCCGGTGCTGGGGTCCCTGGGAGCTTCTCTCCCGGCAAGAGGCGGCAACAGGCAGTGCCGGTTTTATGTGGTTGGGGGAGACTGCGTGTCGGCCATGGGGTGGAGAAGCCAGCCTGGCGGGCAGGCAGGCCCAGGGGGCTCAGGCAGAGGTCAGCGGATCTGCTGCGGAGACGGTGCCTGCCTCCTGTGCCACTCACCCACCTTCCTGGCAGGTGGTGGGCTGCTGGGGCGGTGGGAAGCAGCCGGGATTTCTCTCCATTTGGCTCTAGAAGCCAAGCATCAGATTTCAAGGCCGCCTCCTTGGTTGTGAAATCAAGACTGGAGTCAGTCCCCTAGCTCTCTGAGCTGGTGTCCCCTGCCTAGATTTGCCAGCCATGGGTGTCCACGGCAGCCTCTGTGGCAGCTCTTGGAACCCTAGGGGCAGGGTCTGCTCTGCCCATGGCCCTTCTCACCCAGCTGCAAAGCCTCGGTCCTGGGGACCCAGTCAGAAAGCCACCCGCCATGGAGCCCCTGCTGCCACCTCCCTCCTGAGCGCCTCACCTCCTCAGCACCCAGTTCCTCATGTGACCCTGCAGCCTGGGCCCGAGCAGGGGGTAGGGGAAGGGGCCAGTGACAGAGGGATGGCTGAGCCTCTAGACAGCCTGGCTAGGGAAGAGCTTCCCCTGACCCCACCCCTTGGACCTGAACAGGGAGTGAAGAGCCCAATAACCCCAAAGCTAGGGGCCAGAGGACCCAAACCTGCTCTCTTCATCTCCCTCTGGGCCCCGATCCAGGCTTAATGGTAATTAGCAGAGCCTCATTACCCAGGCCTGGCGAGGCAGCTGCCAGGGACCACCACAGAAGAGGTAATAAAGTGCAGCTGCTGGGCTGGAGCGGGAGCCTTTCTAGGTCAGAGCTTTGGGAGAGGCAAGGGGGGAAGATGAAGTGATCCGGAGCTTCAAGGCAATGCTCCTGCCTGAGCCCCCCCCACCCCAGGGGACCGGCGAATAAGGCCTGTCTGATCGCTGCCCAGAGCCTGCCTGAGACAAGATGAGCCTCACAGAAGAATGTCTGACCCTGTCGGGTCTCGAGTCAGGGGACCTTCCCAGGCAGGACCCCGCTGCTGCGCCCTTCCCCATGTGCAGCCACCCCCACATCTCCAAAGCCGAGTGCAGCAGGCAGCTGCTCTCCCGGTGCGGCGGGGAGATGAAAGGCCTTGCTCGTCCCCGCTGAGGGCTGGCCAAGATCTCTGCTTGCTTCGTTCAGCAAGCTCCGGGTCCTCTGGCTCTCAGCCGGGAACAGAGGGAACGATGGCAAAGTGACCACCGAGCTGAGGCTGTCTGTGGCAGCAGATCACAAGTGCCTCATCCTCACTGAGTGCTCCGGAGCCACTGCGAGTGGCAGCCCTTGGGCCACAGATCCCGTTGCCAGCGTCCCTGTTGAGTTTCTAGTCACCCCCTGTGAGTGTGGGGTCCTAGGCTGCTGGAAATGATATTCGGTCCCCAGTCGGCCAGTTGGCCTGCCTTTCCAGTAAGTGCCCCAGCCTAGTTCCCTGAGGCCTGTGGTCCCCAGATGGCCGTTACTCACTTTTTTAAGGGTTCAATCACGGTCTTTTGGATCTGGTTCACCTGTTGAAAGAAAGACCCAATGAATCAAACCTGAGGGGAAGTCGGACTCTTCCTAAAAGGGGGGGGCTCCACGTTCCTGAGAAAGGGGGCTGACAGGGCTGTCCTGAGAGCCCTGGCGGGGACGAGATGGGGCAGGGGGCACCCCTGATCCACAGCTGGAGCGAGGCAGAGAGGACGATGACGGCCCAGACGCCGAGGGCACCAGGGAGTACTGTTCTTGTTCCGGGTCAGTCCCCCTCCCGCCAGCGCTAACTGCAGGCTGCTGGCAGCCTTGCTCAGGGGGCAGGCTGGGTGGGCAACGACAGAATGTGGGGGGGCTCCGGGTGAGCAGAGTCTTCCTCGTGGTCTCCCAGTGAGCAATACGAACTCATGGGAGTCACAGGAGGCACATGGCACTGAAGCAGGTCCAGGAACGAGCTCACGGGGCTTGTGACACAAGGGCCCCAGAGTGCTGGTAGGACTCTGCACGGGCGCTCCACCCAGACAGAAGTCATGGGAAGGGGGAGAGTGAGACCCCAGTTACCTTCTCCTGGTTGAAGGCGTCCATCCGCTTCATGGCTGTGTCCAGGGCTGTCACCATGTTCAGGAAGTCCTGGTCTTGCTCGCAGAGGGGATTGGAGAGCAAGTCCAAGGATATCTTCACAGCAGATTTGGACAAGGCTGTAAGAAGTCAAAGCTCGGTGAACCTATGAAGGGACAGGCTTCAAGGTCTTAAGTCCAGGGGCCATACCCTGACCGCCCCCGCCCCCCTCCCCACCCCGGCCACAAAGTACCACAGAGCCTTAAGTCACTCGTCCTTCCTGGACAGTGTTCATTCCTGACCATCTGAGGCTGCTCTGGGTAATCCTTCGGAGCAGTTTACCCTTTGCAATCACTTCATTCCCAAACTCTGGATTTTAACAGAAACATTTGGGCGGGAAGCCGTAAAAACTACTTACTTCTAGGTCGAAAGAGTCTCACTCAGTAAGTCTGAAATCCAGAAATGTGTATTTTAAAGAAACTCTCCAGGCGGTTTGGACGTGAAGCTTGGTTTGGGACTCCCTCACGGACGAGGGTAATATACCGTAAGGGCTAGAAATCAAGATGGCAGGCTGTGTGGACTGCATGGTTTCTGCTGCAACTACTCAACTCTGCCACAGACAACACCTAAAGAATGGGTGGCTTTGTTCCAATGGCACTTTATTGACAAACCGAGGCCGGGTTTGGTGTGAAATCAGGCAACCCCTGCTTTCAGTGACATACACTCAGAAACTTCTTTTCCCTGAGCCTCTGGAACTGGTACAGACACTACAGAGCAAGCGTGGCCCCTTTCCAGTCTCTTCCTGCCCCTCTAGACTTTCGTTTGCACGTAATGGACCAAGAACTTCAAAGCCGCTGACAGGTTTCCATCCTGCCTCTGCAGGGTTTCCCATGCCCCCACGGTTTTATCCAGGGCTCATCCAACCCAGCAGACATTGCAGGCAGTGTATTTTGGCTCCATTTTACAGATGAGGAAGGCTCCAAAGAGGTTTTAACTCCCTCAAGGTCAAACAGCTGCAACTGCCAAGCCAGGACCAGACCCTGGGCCCCCGCCGCCCTGCCCGCTCCTCTCCTGGAGACAGCTGTGGGCAGGCCCCACAAGGCTCTGCTGCGGTATCTGCTTATGTTGTTAAAGGTCTTCACTGGTACCATTTCCCCATGGATGGAGGCCACTGCCCTGCCGTGGCCTGTTCACATGTTCCGACACCCTGTTTGACATGTGGGGAGCCTGGAAATCAGATGGCAGCTCCAAGGCAGGGCGGAGATCTATTAGCAGCTTTGGAGTTCTCCGGCTCATACAAGTTTTCGGGTCTCCATTATTTGGGGGAAAAAAAAATTCTAGAGGGGCAGGCAGAGAGAATGCAGAAGGGGCATGCTTGTTCCACAGTGTCTACCAGCTTGAGAGTCTCAAGGGAGAAAAGGTTTTGAATGTATTCCTCACTATTTTATGCCACTGAATTTAGGATGGTCACACACCATCACTGTATAAACCACCAAGAAGGAAAACAATGCTGCCCATTAAACCCTATCAAGGGTTATGGTGTGTTGGTTTCTGTCATGTTAGAAGTGAAACAATGTCTTTGAATCCATGAAATAGGTCCACTCCAGTCAACACAGATGTGCCCCTGCCTTGCTGCTCCATACAGGGGGGCAGAGCCCCAGCCCAGCCCTAGCCCTCCTGGGGAAAGGGCCCACTTCTCCATTTCCGGTGGGAGGAACAGGAACCTAGTGGGTCCCTCCTCACTCAGGCTCCTCCATATGCCAGCAGAGGAGGCCACAGAGGGTGACTGGCTGGGGCGCCCTGTCCTGGGTTTCTCTTGAATCAGGTAGCCCGTGGTGGTCACCCAGCAAATGGGCACAATATGGGAGAAGCCTGGAAATGTACACTTCCCAGAAATGGTGAGGCAATGTAGCCAAGAACCCTCTTTCAAATCTGTGCAGTGACTTTGTAGCTTGTGAACAAACATCATGTGTAACTGGACCGGATCATGAAATGGTCGCAGACAGTATAATTAAAGGACAGAAGCTTGGACAACATTGGAGACTTTTTCGAAAAATTTCTTCCACTGCTTCTTAATATTTGAGGGGGAAAAAAACCTGAAAAGTTAGGGCAGGGGAGACTTCCTTCCCTATTTTCCTTTTCTTTCCTAAAGCCTCACACTTCAGGCCTCTGCCTCCGTCTTTGTTCGAACCATCTGAAGTCAATTAACAGTGTGGAATCCCACTGGAGGCCTCACCGGCCTATGGGAGGGTGCAGGGCAGGGCCATCGGGGCTCCACTGGGACTGGAAGGGCGTGGCCAGCCCGGCACAAATTGGGAGGCTGGTGGTCTCTGAACCTTACAGAGAGCGGGGGTCTTGAACACATCGGTCTCTGGAACCCTGATGCAACTTCAAAATGTAAGGTTCGACAAAGACCTAACAGGGGCTGGTCGTGAAGACAATCTTGTTTGGGAACACAGGATGGGATTTTAGATCTTGTCCTGGCAGCTGACTCCCCTGAATTGTCTGGAGCAGTGGTTCTCAAACTGGGGTCCCTGGGTCAGCTGCCTCGGCACTGCTTGGGGGTGGGCTGGGCAATCTACCTCCTAGTGGGCCTTTGGTGACTCTGATGCACCGACTGTGACTGCTTTGCGAGGACCTTCTCTGCTCAGATGCTACTTCTGATGGGGGTGGAAGAGGCCAGGAGCCCTGGGCCCTAGGGCTCTTCCATTTATTCTGATTTCTTTACAGGGAAACCACGTTCTCCATGTCATGGATCCCTGATGTTCTGCTGCTTCCAAAGCTGCTTGCTATGAAAACACAACCTTCCCTTCATCTGTGCTCTGAGAGCACAGTCGTCTGGAGCAGCACCAAGTAAAGGAGGCAACTGGTCACAGCCTCTCCTGTACTAGAAAGGCAGTGGAGAGCGATCAGGATGCCCCCCAGGTAACTGGGAACTACCCACAAAACAAATAACAGATGGGCTCCATGATCAGACCCTTGGTTCACTGCACACGGAGTCCGGGGATGCCAGGGACAGTTGTGTTCAGACCCACCCATGTCCTCCGGATGAGTGGTGACATGAGGATTTGTGCACAGACCACAGGAGCCGGCCCTGAAGGGACAGAGGGACAGAGGTCCACTCGTGACCCGGCCAGGCCCAGCCCGGCTCTGGGCTATGCCACCTACCCAGGTCAGCGTCAGTGCTCTTCTTCATGTCCTTCTGCAGCCTCCTCGTCTGCTCTTCCAGCCTGCAAGGCAGGGGCACAGGCCTGGGCACCTGGCATCGCCAGCTGGCTTCGGCCTCCTTCCTTCCTATCTACCTGGGTTAGGTCTGGCCTGATGCCCTGGGAGGCCTGCCAGGAGAAGGGGCCCGTGCTGTGTGGGGAGTCTTCCCGCGGACTGAAGGGCCACTGCTGGCTCTGCACGAGGCCAAGCACCCAAAGGCTATGAGTTAACGACTGTCACATAGCCGTCAGCTGGGGGAGAATTTCTGGCAGGCTGTGAACTGAGCTGCCCTCGGCTCCGGCGGCACTTAAGGGACAGATGAGCGGCCCACTAATGGCGGTGCCGGAAGGGGCACTGTGGGAACTGAGACCTGGTGGAAGGCTCCTGCCCTGCTTCCCCACCCCCCACCCCCCGCCAGCCTCCATCCTTCTGGGGTTTGACACTCACTGCTGGAGTTTTCCATACTCCCTTTCAAAATCTCTCTCCACCTGTAACCAAAGAGATAACTCAATCATCGGAGAAATGACAACACGCTGGAAAAAATCTGCCAGCCTACTGAAACTCCCTCCACGCCCTCCCCCCAGCTGCAGCAAACAACACGGTCCAGTTCATACAAGCACCAGCAGATCATTAACGACACACTATCCCTGTGTTCCCAAATTAATTAAGTGTTTGATTTAGGGCACGAGACTCCCCTCCCAGATGGGCCAGCCAGGCAAGTAGCAGCGGATTGTGGCTCTGTTCCTCCACCACAGGGAGCCAGGCGCTGGGCTGCCTTCCCTCTCCTCACCCTCCCCTTGCGAGCCAGGTGAGGTGCTCGGAATGTGACTGAGACTCGCAGGGGGGAAGCAAGCAGGTCCCCTCCCGCTCCTGGCCCTGGTTTCCCCACAGGGCCTACCAACTGTGAGGTTCAGGGTGGATCAGGAAAGATCCTGTCTGCACACTCTGTGGGTGGGAAGTACCGAGCACAAATACTATTACTACTGACTCCGGAGAGGCTCCCTTAAAATTCCTGATAAGTTATCCGATTTCCCCAATGCCAGCAAGATTCACATCAGATGGGTGTGAGTCCTGATCCCAGGTCTGCCACCTGCATGTCAGGTGGAGTCAAGAAAGTCACTTGCATGTCCAGTGCCAGAACTTCTCCATCTGTCACACGGGTCCCTGGCAATGGTCTCTCAGATGAGTGGCCTTTGAGGTGTATGGAATCTGAGAGCAGAGAGGAGGGGACCGAGGCCTGTCCTGGTTCCCTTCCCTCCCTTCTGCAGAGGCAGCAAGAGCTCCCCGGGCCGGCGTGCTGAGCTCCGGGCTGAGGCACTCACGTACGAGCAGCTAACATTCACAGGGTGCTCCCCGTGTGCTTCTGTGAACGCTCCCCCACCACTGCACGTGCACTGTGGCCCTCACGGCACCAAGGAGCTCCCAGGACAGAGGGGATGTACGCTGCACAAGCTCACATGCCTAGTGAGTGGCAGAGTGGAGATCTGGGCATAGCCAGCCTGACTCCAAGGCCCATGCTCTTTTTTTTTTTTTTTTTTTAATGTTTTATTTATTTCTGAGAGAGAGTGAGAGAGAGACAGCATGAGCAGGGGAGGGTCAGAGAGAAAGGGAGATACAGAATCTGACACAGGCTCCAGGCTCCAAGCTATCTGTCAGCACAGAGCCTGACACGGGGCTCAGCCCACAAACATGACCTGAGCTGAAGTTGGACGCTTAACCGACTGAGCCACCCAGGTGCCCCATCCAAGGCCCATGCTCTCAATGAGCATTCTACCAAAGGGGGAAAAGGTATCTGCTGATCAATTAAAGCCACGACTAAGAAAGGTACCTTCTTGCTGCTCCCTGAGATGCCTGCCAGTGAGAGCACTAAACCCTGGTCTTGCTCTCACGGCAGGCTGTCATGGCAGGCTCAAGGAAGGTCACAGAGCCCACAGCTGCGGAAAGGGTCAAGGCCCTTTGTTCTTTGCCAGCACACCCTTCCGTCACGGTGCCCCATGAAGGAGCATTCTGAAACCCCACGGACCCCACACTCATGTGCATTTAGGTAAACTCAACACAGTCACAGAATGGCAGAACATTATTGAGGGCAATTATTTCATGTTACAAACGAAGAGGATGAAGCCCAGAGACGGGGAATGATTTATGTAAGGACGCAGGGCTAGTCAGAGGCAAAGCAAGGCTAGAATTCAGACTCCTAGTTCAACGCCTCCCCCCTTTTTAAAATGACATTCAGGGGGCACCTGGGTGGCTTAGTCGGTTAAGCGTCCGACTTTCGCTTAGGTCATGATCTCGCGGTTCGTGGGTTCGAGCCCCGCGTCGGGCTCTGTGCTGACTGCCAGCTCAGAGCCTAGAGCCTGTTTCAGTCTGTGACTCCCTCTCTCTCTGACCCTCCCCTGCTCACGCTGTCTCTCTCTCTCTCCTAGAAATAAGTAAAAAAACATAAAAAAAAATGACATTCAGTAGCCCCACAAACGTTTATTCAGCACCTATTAAGTGCAATGCATTCTGCCAGGTGCAAGGGGTGCTCTGGTGACAAACAGATGTGGGTCCTGGCTGGGGGAAACAAGTACACTTATAACCCAAAGCTCTGTGGAGGACGGGGGTGAGAGAATGGCCCAGAGAACCTACTTAGCTAAGGTCCCAGGGCATGACCACGTGTCCTTTGACTTTCTGACCCCAGCACCTGGGGTTTGACGCACAGAGTCATGAAGTAAAATTCACCATTGGTTTCCCCCCATCCTACAGTCTTTGCCTCTTTTCAACAGATCCCCTGTTTCTCCATCCAGGAACCTAACATTTCATCATCGCCTTCCTTACGATCCATCAAAAAGCTGCTCTTAAGAGGAAATTCAAACTTCGTTCCCGCTTCACTACACTTTGCTTCACTAAGGCGTATGTTCCTAATAAAAGCTTAAAGTGCTACCTGTCCCACGGGCCGTGTAGCTGGGCAGGAATCAAAGTCTCAGCCAAAGGCCGGAAGAGCATCTGGAGTGATGCAGGAGGGAGATTTGTTCTGGGGCAGCGAGGCCTCACCAGGGCCCAGCAAGCCTGCACTGGGGCCATCCAGCCCTTTCGCCACCAGCACCATCGAGGAAGATGGTGGACAGGACCGAGAGGAGACGGATGACAGATGGACTCCGATACCAGCTGTGCAGCATTAAAAATACTACCTAATATTCTGAGTCCCAGGTACTTTTCTAGAGGAGTGGGATAACTCCATTCGTCCCCTCTCAGGGAAGATGTCCGGTGGCTGCCGAGGAAATGGGGTAGTGGTGTCTGTCTCGTTGGCTTGTCTAGAGGATCACCGAACAGTCTGTGTAGAGCACAGAGCTCAGTGCCTGGCCTGCAGACAGGGCTTCCTCGTTTTTCTCCTATGCACTGCAGCCCTGGAGGGCCCAGAGCAGTCTGGGGGTGCAGACTGTTCTGTAACCCTTTGGCAAAGCACGGGGTCGTTTGATAGCTAGGTGAATGCTGATTTGGGCTAAGCCTGAATCCTGTGCCCGGGGACTATACCTGGGTCTCCCTTCACTGGACACTTCACCTCTTTAACCTGGTAGAATATGATGGCTGAGCAGGGTCTTTACATATTAAAAGTATTATTTTCCAAAAAGACGAAGTTAAGGATGTCTTGGTCAGAGTCCAGCTTTCCTAAGACGAAGAACATGCAGTGGGTGCCCCGAGAGGGAGGCGGGCACGGAGAGCGCCTGTGAACCCACCGGCGCTATGGCCTTGGCTCCTGGCGCTCTCTTTTGCAATCCCCAAGTGTGCTGCTGCATGTGTGGGATGTCAGAGCACCTGGTCCCACGGCTCCGACTGCTTGGACTTGCATAGAGAGAGCGAGCGACTGCGGGTTTCCAACTGGGTTGGAACATTCTGGTTGGTGAGCCGCTTGAGGTCTTACCCTGGCAGCTGACAAGCATGTCGGGGTGGGGCTCAGGTCCTTCTGCTGCTGCTCACAGACATGTGACTGCCTGGGACGTTCATGAACGTGTCCCCCTTCTGTCTCTGGCAGCCAGGTGTGGGCTGCTCTCAAGATCACTCTCCTCCCCTGGGAAAAGATCCAAGGCAACACCACCAGGATTCTGGCCCCTCAGATAATGGATAAGGGAATAATAAAGAGACACCCTGGAGTCCCAGTCAAGGTATCTCCATTCTGAGGGAAACAGCCAAACACGAAAGATCTGAACATCTCTGAATGCTTGATGCTTCTGCCAAAAAGGCGATTAGCCCACAGTCAACAATGCAAGTGCAAACACATGTGGATGGCTGTCAGCGGGACAGGGCGGGTGGGCCGGGCTGGGCAGCGAGGTTAGCGCAGGGGGAATGAGCACCAGACAGCCTGCTGCTCCCTGCATTCTCGAAGGCTCAGGGTGGAGGGGTGAGACTGTGCTGCTCACCACTCTATCCCCAGTGCCTCAGGTCAGGCTGGCACAGCGGGAGTCAGTATTTGTTAAATGAATGAGTGGGCTGAGGTCCCACGCAAACTGACACATGGGGTGAAGTGAAGGAGACCGACAGGCGGGGCCAGGGCTCCAGCCGCGCAGCTAAGCCGTGTTGTCAGATCAGAGCTGGGGCAGAGGGCACAGTGGGTATTCGCGGAAGCCCCTCTTGAGGGGTACTCAGGGCAGAAAGCAGCATTCCCTTGGTACGTTACCACAAGATTAAATGAAGCTGAGAGTTCTCCACTTTGCAAGTGGAGATCTTTCTCAAGTGGAGGTCCGACGTGGCAGGGTGCCCTTCCGCCCTGGCGCTGTGGCGTGCCTGCCTAGCTAGGAATCCAAGAGCATGCTTTCCTTTGTGTGCGAGACCCAGGGTGACCTCTGCTTCCAAGAGCTCTTCCCTCCTCGAAGCTTATGGACAGGTGAGCAGCTGCTTTTGGCCATGCCATCACGCTCTGGCTACCTTCTGGGACCAGAGAAGCAGGAGGGGTGTAAGCAGAGGGTTTGGATTGGGAGGTGGGCAAGCCTTTGTCCCTCTATCTCCATTCCAGTGGCCAGTCCTTGCAGAGAACATGCCATTCCTTCGCCAGAGCCTTGACAACAACGGAATTCGTGTTAATAACCTGGACGCAGGAGAACAGCGAGAGCAAACACACAATGCTTTCTTTGTGTCTGACAGTTGGGTACCTTGAGCCAAAAACCTTCTGAAACTCCCTGAAGATAACATGAGCGTTTCTTCCCATGACAGGGGTGCCATGATTTCCAGTCAGCAGGCAGCCACATCTGCCCCTCCGACGGTGCCTGGGCAAGAACAGCAGTGCGTCACCACTGTCTGGGGGCAGCCGCCAGAGCGGCCGAGACAGCTGCCCAGGCTCGGCCTGTGATGGGGGCCTGGAGGGGCTTGTGCGGTTGAGAATGAGATCGAAGAGGCAGGCTCTCGTTCCCTATACTTCAGTGCCTCTGGGGAGTTGAGGGAGGAAGTAACTCTCTTCCAACCCCAACTCGGCTTTGATTCCTTGTGAGAGATCAAAGGCCCGGCCTACTGTTTCCTTGTACTAGGGGATCCGGCTGCTTGGAACAGGCTGAGTCCTTGGTGGTTTATAAAGAGTCCAATCAACTACCTTCCCATAAGATAGTTACTGTTTATTGAGGGCTCACTATATGCTGGACGCTGTGTTAAATGATTCATACACATGACCTCATGTAAGACTCATAACGCATCAGTGGCATAGGTACTAGGATCCCCACTTATGAAGGAGGAAACCAATGCTCAGAGAGGGTAAGGGCCTTGCTCAAGGTCACATATAGCATGTGGCAGAGCCGGTGGGAACCCGAGCAGGAAACCTACCAAATCTGGCTTCTTAACCACTACTTGGTGCCCAGTCTGACTGGGGGAGCAGATTCCAGAAGTCACAGGACTGTAGTTCCATCCCAAACAAGACCGATGTGAGGAGGGGAAGAGGGAAGCCGTGGGCCCATCCACAGGGCTGTCTGTAGAGTGGTCCATAGGTGCTGGGATTGTCCATTTGTCCCTCTGGGGAGTCCTTGCCACTCCTCCGATTTTTAAAAGACCCAGAGATCTTTCTGTCGACAAACTGGCAGAGAAGCTAGAAACTGAATTCTAACCTATCCTTTTCTGTGGAGAACAACGGCTATCTCTACAGAGGTAAGGGTGTTGGGAGTGTTTTCTGTTTGTCTGTTTGTTTTCTGGTAGTGAGTGCTGGGAATAAAAGACCCTCCCCAAAACCACTTCCCTTTCAGATCTGCCCTGGATTAAACTCTGGAGACACGAAGCCACACCTTCCCACTTCCTGTAGCCGGCTAGAGCCCAGCACTTGCACGCCCAGATTCTTTGCGCTTCAGCTGAGAGCCTTCACAGATGGTCAGCCTCTGCATGGGAGGTAAACTTGCAGTCTGTCCTCGGCCTGCCTTCACTTGAAAGAGGAACGCAGCCCATTTCCTTTTAAGTGGCTGCCTTTGGATTTTCCAAAGACTGGGCCATTGGTCAGATGTGTGCTGAACTTCCCTTCCTGCCAAACTGAACTAGTTCTGAGTTCTGAGCCAAGGAGGGCTGAGGTTATTAAGACAAAGAGAACCATCAGGGGCTCCAGCAGGCTGACGGTTGCTGAAGCTGTCGTAATGAGAGACACCGTACACTTTTGGTTTCCCACGGTAAAACCAAGAGCCTGCTTAGATTTGGGGGTGAGGGAGTTCAAGAGGCCATTCTTGACTAGAATTCCCAAACCTCGGGAGACGGTCACAGCCTGACTGAGGCAGCACAGGGCAGTGCGATGTGCACTGAACAGAGACTCCCATCTGAGTTCCAATTTTAGTTAGGTCAGTATTAGGGTTTTTGTTATTGTTGTTGTGTTTCAGAGAGCATGCATGCGGCGGGGGGGGGGGGGGGGGGGGGGGGGGGGGGGGGGGGGGGGGGGGGGGGGGGGGAGATAGAGAGGGAGAAAGAAGCTCAAGGCTGGATCTCACAACCCTGAGACCATGACCTGAGCTGGAATCAAGAGTTGGGTGCTTAACTGATTGAGACACCCAGGTGCCCCTAGGATTAGGTTTGTCACAACCTGAGAAAGTCACAGTGACTTTGTGGGTCTTGGTTTCCTCGTAAGGAAAATCAGGTTGGACTAGATGATCTGTAAAGGGCCTTCCGGCTCTAACTTTCTAAGAATCTGTGATTCTGCTCCTGTTTCTAGAGATAAAACAGAGATAAAAATTGTGGGCTCTCAAGGGGGTAGGATTCAATCACGCCCTCCTGCTAACTCTTGAGTCCTGGCTAAGAGTGACTTTGGCAGGGGAGAGAAAGGGAGCCGGGGCCTCCCGGAGAAGCTTCCTGGTCTTCACGCAGGTGGCTAGAGAGAAGGGCCTGGGATATGTCCTGGGTTTCAGGAGCCCACTTAGGAAAGTGCAGAGCGCCACACCAGATCGTACAGATGGGCTGTGCGGAGGCAGTGGGTCCCTGTCACCTGTCACCCACCTCCTCCACCTGCCCAAGGATGGGGATGAACCCAGGCTGATCTGTAGAAGGAAAACGTCCCAGGCCAGGAGGCCCCTGCAAGCCCCAGTCTGAGTGAGATCCCAAGGCAAAACGGCTGGGAATTAGGCAGCCCGGGTTCTGCCCTCCTAGCCCCATGATGTGCTGAGTCAAAGCTCTGGTTCTCTGCAAAGATCCTGGGAGACAGATGGGGTCTCAGAAGGAAAGAATCGGGTTACTCACTGTTTTGGGGACAATCTGTTTCTTGGGCTGCCCAATCTTGAAAGGAATCCTATGAGAGAAAGAATCAAAGAGGGATTTTAGGAGAAACGGGGAAGGATGTAGCTGAAAATAATTGATGAAGCCAAGGCCACTTTTCCCCAGAGGGTAAAAAGCACCAGTGGCTTGTCCAGGCTGGGCTCTGGAGGGTGATCTTCCCATGTACGGTGTCCGATGGAAGTCCTGGGCACCACCTTCTGCCCCAGAGCATCTTTCCTACTAGCAGCCGGTGTTGAAACACGTTGCAAAGGTGACGGCAGGGAAGGGGAGATACCACATAGTCATTGTGAATCTGTGTCCCGAGGAGCTGCAAAGTCAGAATTACAGGCTCGCTTGGGCAGCTATCATCCTTGAAAACAAGTGTTTAAAAACACCATGAAAACCACTTATCGTCTTTATCAGGCGCTTCACTACTTCTCTCTAGAGGGACTTCTCACGTGGCTGGAGAGAGAGGACAAACTATAGGGCATTAAAGGCCCAGTCCGGCTGGGCAATTTCCAGTGAGAAGACACATCTGAAATGTGGCTAGCTCGAAGAGGAATCTGAATCTAGCCCAGGTCTGCCCTCTGCACCTCACGTTCCCCACTTGGAAATGGAAGGCAGTTTAGCGTAACAGAAGGAGCGTCAAGGACCTAGCCTCTAAACCTATCCATTCCCCCCNCCCCCCCCGGCAGGTAATGACTGCCCTGGGATTCATTGCCCACTCTGTGAAAGAACAGGGTTAGACTGGATAATTCAGAAGTTTCCTTGAGGCAGGGGAAATTCTGATTCTACAATTCTGAGAAGTGTGGCCCCGCTAGGAGCAAACACGGCGCATGCCAACTGCTGGAGAAACGGAGGCTCCCCGAGGCCCTCAAGGTAGCAGTGAGTGAAGCTCTCCTGGGATCAGCTCAGGGCACAGGGAGTCAGCAGGAGAGCCTGAGGGGACAGCTCACTCCCACTCTTCTCTCAGTGCTCAGGGCGCTGCAGTCCCTCCATTCAAAGCTCCCGCTTCCACCACTGCACCCGCCTCCCCATCCCCCCCCATCCCCTTCTGCCCAAGCCTGCTTTCTCTTGGCCCAAACTGACCAACACTGTTGCTAAACCCAATGGTATAATTAACCACCGATAATAACCCCAGACAACGATCCGGCAGAGGATGGGCCAGCCTGAGTCACAGGTTTAAATTTAATTTCTGGAGGACATCCTGTTTATTGTTAACCCAGCCCGGTAATTTGGGAGCATTAACCCTTTGGGGGCTGGCTGATTCACGTGGCTTCTATAAACAAATAATCAGTGGCTACATAATTAGCAGGGGAAAGGTAAACTCTGGAACCAAAAAGGAGAGAAAGGGCAAAATTGTTCTTTCCCTTCCTCAGATCTAAAGAACAGAGGGTGAGGGAGCTGAGCCCTGTAGTCCCCTCCTCGTGTCCCCAGTTACTTTTCCCAAAATCAGGGATTGGAGTTGACTGACACAATGGTTTTGGACAGTGAACAAGTGCCCTCAAGGACTATTTTGGTGACAGTGCAAATGAGGTCCTGGTGGCATTGAGTGAAGATTGAGCCTGTTCTGCACGAAGCATGTTGCGGGTGATAAGCTCTAGACCAGGAATCAGAAAACTGGTCTCTGCCTCTGACTAGTTTTGTGATGCGAATAAATCACAATCTCTCTGGAGCTGTTTCTTTCTTTTTAATTTTCTTTTAATGTTTATTTTATTTTTGAGAGAGACAGAGCATAAGCGGGGGAGGGGCAGAGAGAGGGAGACACAGCATCTGAAGCAGGCTCCAGGCTCCGAGCTGTCAGCACAGAGCCCAATGAGGGGCTTGAACTCACAAACTGTAAGATCGTGACCTGAGCCGAAGTCAGCACTTAATGGACTGAGCCACCCAGGTGCCCCTGGAGCTGTTTCTTAAACTCTAAAACAAAGGAGATGGAATAGGGGGTCCCTTCAGTGCACCTAAAACTTGAATTCTAAACTGAATCTCTCTTCCAGGAACATGGAGGCACGATGAGAATTCTGCAGAATTCTCCGAGTGGTCTACAAAATGATTCTAACTTGGAATCTAGTACTACAGACTAGCTACAAAGGAATCAGGAACTTAGATGCCATTATTTGTGGTGCCACAGCCTCTCTAAATCTTAATTTGGAATCGCAGTATTTTTAGAATTGCAAGTTACCATAGAAATTGTTCCAGTTCAACCCTCTCATTTTGTAGATGAGAAAACCAATCTGGAAAGGTCCAGTGACTAGCCCAGGGTCATTCTGCTGGTTCAACAACTGAACCAGGAGTAAACAATCCACTTTTCTATTGCTACTCATGGTTTCATACTCTTTCCCATGAATTTGTTATGTTTATTTGAAGGGACGAAGGAAAATCATTTGATCAAAATACCTAACCTTACAATGCTGTGGGATTTCAAAGGGGCTCACTGTTCTTGAAAAGCCTGGAAATACAAGGAATGAGGAGGGCCGCGTTATCAGAAGGAAGGAGACTTGTACTGACCTGTGCTTCTGCACAAATGACAGGTTATATGTATCATGTTGACTGAGTGCAAAACGTCACTAATAATGTCAGCAGGACAACAGGCAAGGAACCCGGACTGTCCAGGGCAACTGGGACATATGGTCATTCCACCCACATGGAATGCCTTCCCTTCTCCCAGGCTGATCAAAGCTGTTCGCAAGTCTACCACCTTGCTAACCTTCTTCTAAATGTCTAAGACTTCATTTGGCATTGAAAGATAGTCTACCTTTTATAGTTAATTGAAGTTTGAAAAGTAAAATATATTCATCAGAGAAAACTTGGGAAATACAGAAAAGTGAGAGAGAGAGAAAGGGAAGGAAAAAACCAAAACAGTGCACAGTCTCCTATCTAAAGATAACCAAGGCTAATG